TCCTTCCTTCCTTCCTTCCTTCCTTCCTTCCATCCATCCATCCATCCATCCATCCATCCTTGTGTTGTGTCAAATTTATATAGTCCCCCATCTCAACCAGTGTGATTCTGGGCAGTGTACAATGAATCATATATTTTACTTCAGTTCTGCAGTATGAAAATGGAGCTTCATTACAGATAATCTAGTCTCATGGTGAGCTCAGATTCAGAAGAGGAGACCGACAATGAGCAGCCAGCTCCGGAGTTACCAGACGAACTGCTATCTGAGCAGCTACAGGCAGAAGAGGATCCGCCCGGTACCCAGCAGGCACAGCGGCCGCCAGTCTTGGAAGATGAAGAGGCTGAGCTGCCCGCCCCCCCCCCCCCCCCCCAGCACAAGGGCTTGCTGTGCAGGGCGGAGAGCAGAGTGAAGGCGCCCCGCAAGGTCACTCACCCTCCCAAACGAGCCACACCGGGGCTGCTCTGGTTTCAGAAGAGCAGCAAGCTCAAGCCTCTCCATTGGTGACAACCGCCCATTAGCTCCCACTCCCTGCACCTGACTTGGGATGTCCCCTTGGTTGTTTAATGGATTTATGGATAGATATAAATGGTGCTTTCAGTGACATTGAAGGTGTGTTTCTTGGGGAAGTGAATATAAATGTGGTTTTGTATGGAGATTATGCCATAAAGTTAGCTGAGAACCCAAATTACTTGCAACAAAGATTAGATATGATGCAATGAGGTGTATGATCTGGAAATTGATAAAAATCAAGTAGTTGTGCTTGTCAGGAAAAAGGAAATAACTGCAAGTTATACATGAATGGAAAAAATCTAGAACAAGTAAATGTATTGTGTACCTTGACAGAATGCCTACTAAAGATGGGGAAATAAACAGAGAAACGTTAAGATGCACAAATGCTGGTAAAACAGTAGTTGACAGTATATGGTCTGCTGTGAGAAACTGATGCTTGTTGAAAGAAGTGAAGCTGTCTGCATAGAACAGTGTGCTTCCTTCTGCTTGTTTGATATATGCAAGAGAGCTGGGCATGTCAGAAGAAACAAAAGTTGAATCAGTTATTTAAGAAATGTATGATAAAAGAAGAGAGATGGTCAAGAACACATGGAAGGGGAAGACTGAGAAAGTCATGGTGAGATGGAGCTGATGAATTCCTCAGAGAGAGATGAGAAGTTTAAAGAACAAAAGGCATTGTCTGAACCGGTACCTGGGTGTGGGGAAAACAAGCATAATTTCCAAGGACAGAAAGGCATGGAAAATGCTGTTGATGTGAATGATTTAAAGATCAAGATTGTGAAGAGCAAAAAGAAGGAATATAAAGTTGGACTATTGTTTGATAATATTGATATTTCTGGTAACTCCTAATGGACTTTTTGCTGAACCAGGACTGAAAAGATGACTATTTCCGGACTGCATATAGATATAAGTTAGGCCATGAGGAGAAGAGCTGTTTCATTTCTAACTTTAAAAGAGAGTGAAAAATTATTATATTAGCTCATGTGATGAAGGTTGGAAGCCAGTTCTTTATTGTTGTCTTTGTTGCCTTTTTTTCCTTTTTTCTGCACCTTCTGAATTTTTTTTTTCTAATTTAGTTTGTATTAGTTTTTACTTCAATAAAATTATTAAATTATTAAAAAAGAAAACGCTGTTTGGAAATGTTTCCCTTTCTTCTTATTTTATCCTGTACCATTAACTAACTCCTCAGACTTACTATTTCCTATGGTTTGCCTGCGGCTTTACATTGGCGGCCCGTTTCTGCCCCATTCAAAGTGCTGGCCATCGCCTTTGAAGCCCTGATGCCTCAGCTCAGCTCAGCTCAGCTCAGCTCAGCTCAGCTCAGCTCAGCTCCCAGACCCTCTCAGGACCACCTCTCCCAGCATGGCCTGACCCACCCCGTGCGTTCAGGCAGAGGGACTCCGGAGGGTTTGCTCCATTTCAAGGAAGGGCCAGTGACACTCCTCCCTATTGAGGCCCTCAAGCACTGCAGCATCTTGCCTCCTGAGGCTCTGTTTCTCCTGGGCTTTAAGGAGACACTCAAACCCCGGCTGTTCCAGAGTGCTTGGGTGCCAATAGGGTGAGGGCTGCCACAAGTAATAAATTGTAGTGAAAAATTGTCTTTTTTCCCCCCATTTTTGTTAGGCTTTTTTACGTCTTTGTGTTAGTGGTCCTGAGCTTATAGAAATGGGCTGTATGTTAAATGTTGTACAAATAAAAGTTTTTTTTTTTTTTAAGTAACACCCTCCAAGCGTTCCTCGTAAGTTTTTTCTTCCAGGCCCTTATCATCTTGGCTATTTAGATACACTTTACTTTGTCAATGTCCTTCTGCAAATGCAATGCTGAGTACTGGAAGCTGTACTGCACCCTGGTCTGACTCTCTCCTCTCCACAGGGGATTCCCCTGCCAATACTCCTGTTTGTTCTCCTTGTTCACTTGCTCAGTTCTAGCTAGATTTTCTGTGAATCTTGCTGGAATTCAAGTTATACATTTGACTTTGCAGTAAAACTTCAGTTTTACAGATCCCCATTCGGGTGACTTCAGATGCAGTGGGCAAAATCTGAAGTTGGATTTTGTTCCATAACAACAGACAATCTGTAATCTTCAACCTTTGATAAAGCAGATTGAAGAACCATTGTTTCTGTGTATCTGCAAGTGTGATATCTCCTGCCCATGGGGCTCTGTCTCATGTGTGGTTAGAAATCTAAGTTCTTCCATGAATGGTATTTGCAAATTGGCATTATTTGTAAATATTGTATAAGTAGTGTATTTAATCTACGATGGCTTCAAAGGCAGTCAAAAAAAGAAAAAAAGTAAATTTGAGCATCACACATTCCAACCAAAAGCTAGTATTGGTTGAAAAATCAGACTTGGCTGAGCACTGGAGTATGGTATAAAGTAGCAAACAGTTTTGGTATTTGTAAAGCAAAACATAGGCTAAAGAAATAAGTACAATATAAATCTACCCATAACACAGCTGAAATTGGGGCAAGAAACACATGAGAATGGTCCAGGAAACAGCACTCAATGAAGCAGTGATGAAATTATGTATTTAGTAATGTTCATGTGGCATTAGAGTTCATGGAGAATAGCATCTAGTAAATATCATTTAATAAATTACTTAAATAATAAGTTTAAAAGCCAGAGATGAGTGGCTGTGGTGATTTTGTAAATGCCATGAATCGTTAGTAAAGAAATCCCCCCTGAAGTTTTGACTGAGGCGGCAGAATAATTCAGGAAAATTCTGTATAAACAAATGAAGGCCTCATACGGATACAAATGTGCTGATGAGATTATTTTGTTCCAACACAAAGTTTCTGAGAACACTGAAGCATTTGAGCATGAAAAATCAACAGCAGGCCAAAAGATCAGCAAGAAAAGGACTTGGATATTTGTGCTGATAGATCACAGAGAGTGACACAAGTCATATTCAGGCAGTTGGGTCATCAAAGAGTGTTGAAAGACATAATTCATCCTTTGCCACCTAGATACTATAATTCAGAGAAAGCATGGTTTATGTAGTGGTTCTTCAGAACTGAATCTTCAACACCTTGAGCCAGAAGTCAGAAAGTGGTATCAAAAGGAAGTGTTGAAGATGTCACCAGGAAATATGAAGGCTGTTGACGATGCTCCCACTCATTAATTGGGAAAAATGTGTACAAAAGTTCTAAAATTTAAGTGCAGTTTTGCCAAAAAAAAACCCCATCAATCCTGTGAACCAGAAGATCATTCTATCAAATAAAACATTTTACAGAAATATATTTCTGGATGAAGTAATGGTTGGGTTGGCGGACAAATCTGATCAAGAGACATAAGAGGGCAATATATCTTACAAAGCCTCGGATACTACCACTCAGTCAGAAATCTTCACCTTTGCTACAGTTGGAAAACAGTCAACATTCCAGTGTTGGCAAATGGCTGGGAAAAAAACCGCTTTATGATGTGAGGCAGAATTGCAGTTTGAAGGAAATGGTCTGCAACTATTACAGAAAACTGGCAAGGAGCAAGCAAGTGAGGATGACGTCTCGCAGTTGTTAGGAGATGAAGGGAGTCCAGGATGGGTACCAAGTTACAATCACATACCTGTAGAGACTATGCCAGTGAGAAAGTAGAGGGCAAGAATAACGAGGATGAGGAGGAAGAACTGCCAGCACCCAAAACTAAGTTGTCAATGTGGAGATCCTACTGAGTGACAGGATAGCTTTTTACTGACTCCTCCTCTGATCGCAAAATCCAGCCTTTATGTGCCCCTCAGGAGATAACCTGAAGCACCATTCTTCCAAGACACGGGTGAAATTGAATATTTTCTTCAAACTAATCACTAACATTGGCTTTTTCATGGATAAAAAAATAAAGCTGAATTGATTTTCTCAGATAGAAGTGTTTTGTTGTAGTAAAAAAAATCACATTCACCATTTAATGAATATTTGGCTTTATGGAAGTCCCATCCTCCTCAACTGGTTCATTCAATCAAAGTTTTACTGGATTGAACTTTAACTTTTTATACAGTCAAGAATTCTAGCTTCCCAATTAAATATTATTGTCCTACAGTGCTGCTCAGATCCAATCATCAACCTGTTTTGGAGGCAGAGGGTACTGCTGGACACACATAGTTCCTTGTGAAATTTCAGCTGCAAAGGCTGCAGGAGCTGAGCTTCTAGAAAAGTTCAGAGTATTGCTGCTGCTGTTACGCAGGGAGCACAGCAACCTGTGGGAACAGCCATATTTCTTTTAACTAAAGAGCTAAACACCCACCTCAGAGAGGTTGCTGTTGGAGAATAAAGTGTAGGGGGACCCTTTTTCATGTCCCTTCATGTGACTCTTGAGGCTATACTGTGTGCTAAAGGCCTTTTCACACCCATTGCTGGGACAGAAGAAAGGTCTCTCACCTATAATGGAAGAAATCAACAAATGTATCAATCAAATCAAAGGTACAAGTCCAGCAATCTCTGGATCCCAGCAGATCCACGATTTTGAATACCTGTAACAGACCTACTCCTAAATTCATTGCAGAGGATAAGTACCAGATTCTTAGTAAGCAGAATCCTAATGTAGCAAATTACAACACACTTGTCAAAACTTATCACGGGCACCTTTTTAGTAATGTATAACTATGAAGTGTATTTCCCCCTAATTTTGAAGACACCACCTAATTTTCCACAAATAGATCAAGTAGGCCTCCATCAGTGTTTGCTTTCTTAAGTAGCCATAAAAGGATTCAGGGGAGTCCATGGATTGAAGAACTGATTGTGCTTGCCACTTATGAACGGATTGCCTATAGATGTAGACTTTGTATGGACAAGTATAATGAAATATGGGACTCATTCATACAAAATACAGTAGGTTGGAAAAATAAAACCCCATGATAGTCACATAAATTTTTAGAAATATATATGTACTTGAATAATATTTGTATTAGATAAGCATATATAGAATTGTAATTGTGTACTATTATAATGATATATTTACTTTTTTGTTGTTGTTATATTCATTGTTATGTTAAAACTGTACTTGAATAATATTTGTATTAGATAAGCATATATAGAATTGTAATTGTGTACTATTATAATGATATATTTACTTTTTTGTTGTTGTTATATTCATTGTTATGTTAAAACACTGTTATGTTTTTTACCCCTTTTTTGTGATAGACAGGAAGGAAGGGAGGGAGGGAGGGAGGATTCAGGGGTCAGATGCCTCCCGGGTTTTACCAGTGTGTGTCCTGACGTGTGTCTTCAGATGGTGGCTGGCAGCAAAGGCTTTCCCGCAGCCATCATGGTCACACCTGTGGGAGAAAGCAGAGAGTCTTACAGCATCACCCTGACAACTTGGAAGCACCTTTACAACCTTGAAACATGCTAGCCTCACCCACTTACACG